ATAAAAATTGGTATTATAATGGCTTCTACAATGTTATTTTTACAGTTATGCAATTCTTTTCCTGTACAAGTTTCATCATGCTCGATTTTATTTTGTGGGTTATATTTATTCATAATATCTAATATTTTAGTGCAATAACTATCATTTTCATTAGGTTTACATTTTTTTCCTATTAAAATGAGACTGTTATGCATATCATCTAAATCATTGAATTTTTCAAATACATCTTCAGTAACACTTTGATAATCCGTTTGGTATGATAAATTCTTATAATATGTATTAAATATATTCAATAATTTCTCATAAAAATTTTTAATAACTGCTCTTGTTTTCCCCCCTTTTAACTTATACTTATATAACCAATAATACAAGTATTTAAAACCAAATTTGTCTAATGAATAATCTTGTCTTTCATTATACACTTTGTTTAAATATGCCAAGGATTGAGAGCATATTTCGTTAATATTGGAGTTAAAAATATCTGAATCTTGATAATCACTAATATTACAGTCACCATTGTAATTACTCATTGCATGTTTTTGATTTACGCCATCTATAATTTCTTTACATTTGCGAAATAATAAATATGTAGTCTCATCCTAAAAATAAGAAAATAATCATTCTATGATAAAAATTATTTTTTCTGAATAAAGTCTTAAAATATATATGAAAAAACATATCCAGAATTATTATAATATTGTACTTTATATTATAGTAATTCAAAAATATTATATGTTTAACCATCTTAAAAAGGATTTTACCCTTTTACAGATTAATTAATTAAATAATGATGTTTAAAAATGTTAAAATATAATTTTTTAATAAATAATATATAAAATGTGAATAAATATTATGCTAATTTTTATAACTAGATAAATCATATAAAAAGTATATGAACTCATTCGAACATATATATATACTGCGTAAAATGTTGTTATTATTATATTTTACAAAAAATGATACATTCTAATAATTAATTAAACTTAAAAATATAAAAATTAAATAATTTTTTAAGAAGAAAAATCATATTTATTGTTAAATCTTAATAAAAAAGTTATACAGTTTAGGATTTAAGGTTAAGGATTTAGTAATTCCCTTTTACTTATATAATATATATGTTATCTTCTTATTAAAAATAATTTTAGCAATTTAAATGATTCTAATATAACTTTAAAATAGAGCATATAATAAAAATATATATTCATTTTAAGCATGTTTAATGAAATACTTCAATTTATAAATATAAATCTATTTTCATTTTATACATCACATACATATATTAAATATGGAATCATTGTATAAACGATGAATATAACTTGATGACTTAAGATAACTCTATATCTATATATACATATATGTAATACATATATTATCATTACCAATTATATATTGTAAGCATTCAATTATTATTCTTATAATATATTCATTGTAAACATTAGAAATAGCATAAATTTTGAGTAAAATAATTATAGCATAAGATATAAAGGTTTAGGGTTCAGGTTTCACGGTTATGAGCTTAGGATATTTGTGTTTAGGGATCAGGTTTTATTTTTTTTATTGTTCACGATTTTGGTTTCATCGTTTTGATTTTAGAATTTAGGGTTTATTTTAATATTATGTATTTATTTTTAACATTATGTTCCTTATATTAATACTTTCTTTTTTACTTTAATTTTTAGAACTTTTCTTTTAATATTTATGTTTAATATATATTACTCATATATGCGAACACAGAGTTGCCATTATATTATAATATAATAATCCATTAAATATAATAGATATAATATACACTTATATATTATAATTATTCTTTCGCTCATATGAAATTAATATTCTGTGTGTTATATTTATTTGGAATATTATTTTATTTCTTATTTTATTATGCTTTATGCAATATCGTTTCTTATCATCTTCTTATTTAATTTAATTTTAAAGCTTTATTTCTATTTGTATACATAAAAAATATATATTTACTTTTCAGAATCATAATTCTCCTAAAAAAAAACATCTATGATTTTTTTTTTATCGTCCTTATAAAAAGCATCAATACCCCCAAATGCATTATTTAGAGAATGATTACATAATTTTTCCTACTCATTCGGCTTAAATGCAATAAATGCCATAAATTATCAAGCAAATAACCCCAATATAATTTCTCCTACATATAAAACCGTTGCCAATTTTCCCCTGTTTTATAATGATATTCATTTTTATTCTC